TAGGAAGGAGAGCGTCTTGTTGTAGGTATTCATGTTATCACATGATTTAAAACGTTTTTATTATATCTTATTAGTCCTGCTTTCCAGATTTCTTATTTCTATAACGTTCAACATTTCTGTCCCGACCAGATGAATCTGACGAACTGTCCTTACTTGAACTCGTACTATGCATTTTTTTCTCTCCTACTTAAGAGCGTACGTACAATTTTTCGGGTATAGGAGTTTCAATGCTATTCTTTTTCCCAAATTATGAAAAAACTAAAGAATATTTTAAAAAAATTTTAAAGTACAATAAAGAACGTGTTGATATCTAGAAAAGTGCTGGCTTGGCAACATCGTAATAATTTTTTTATGGAAACAGAGGGCGGTTGAAAACTGTGAAAATAACAACAAATTTTCATTTCATAAAAATAATAAGTCAGCTTTTTTCGTTTTTTATATAAATCTACCACTTTCCAAGGTAATAAATCAGAAGGAAAATTACCGAAAACCGATTTCAAAAAGGTCTGTTAGTTTTTTTAGAAAATGGAAAAAGAAACAACTCTTTTTAATCGAGTTAAAATTCTTTACTAAATTCGCTGTCTTTCTTCCACGATGTCCGATCTCCATCTTGTTAAAACTCGATAATTATAGACGGATTAAGGTATTTTGTACCTCACACGTGCATGTGACTACATTTAAATTAAAACATTTGTAAATGTTAAAAAATTTAAGAAAGATTTTGTAGAATATAAATCTTTTTTATAAAGATTAGTAAACTTTGCTGTATATATACGATATTCTAAAAGGTAAATCACATTTATGTGATTATAATTTTTTTTTAATTATTTTCTAATATATAATGGATTGCTCTTTAAATATATATACAGTGTCTCGCAAAAAGCCTGCTCCATATGGAACACTTTTTATTATCACTTTTTTAAGAAAATATTATTCTTAATATTCCTGAAATTCACTCGTAAGGGGGTGAATTAGGGAGAGTATTATTATAAAACTTGGTGTTCAATTTTAAACCTGAAACTTTCTTTATTTTAAATATAAATTAGGATGCGCAGTGAACTTGGTACCCACATTTACAAATTAATGTAATATAATGTATATAAGCCCATATAGTACTTTAATAAAATTAATCTAGTTTATTATATACTTTTTTACGTAGTTTAAAAAAGTTTAAAAATTTGGTGCTTTCTTGGTGCGTCGTATGATTTCTTTGTATATGTTTAGGTACAGATAATTATTGATACTGACAGTTTATTTTTAAATCATTAAAATAATATTTTGTTAATCCAAAAAAGGCAAACAAAAAAATTCTTGCCATATACAGTGTAACAATAAAAATTAAATATATAAATATAGCATGTTTCCCGCCTAAATATTTTGCAATGACGTTGTTATATTGTTATGCGTAATTATTATTAAGGTTTTTAATTAAACTATCTGCATGGAATTTTATTCTTGATATAGATGACAATATATCTTTCATCATTCCGCATTCTGTCAGGTCCACTGTGTAGTCCGTATTCTCTTCATTTCCTAACTTTATACAAAAGTATTTAGAACAGTTCTCGTGCTTACCAAATACATGATATGGGCTATTAGATATGTCAGGCTTTAGATTTGTTATTTTATGTTCCATTGCAACTTCAGATTCTCGATGGTGTTTAGCAGCTTTGTCGATAGCAATTCGTAGCGTTAAAATATTAGATTTTAACAAACTACGCAATTTGACTGGAACTAACTTTCCTGCGGTACTGTACCTTTTTCCTGCAATATCCCGCAAACGTGCACAACAGCTTCTCAACAAATGGTTTCGGCATTCTATTTTTTCTACTACCATGTTACCATATGGCCTGCTTTCTAATATTTTTTGATAAATACTGCTATCTCCATCAGCAATAAGATATTTATATCTCAATCCATGCATATACATACTACAGTGAAATCCATCTAAAATAGTCTTACTTTCCATTTCAGTTGAAGACCCATCCCAATTTTTGTAGCATCTATGGTCCTTCTCCTCGCCAAACAATTTACAAAATGAGCAGTATTTGTTTTTTATACTTAAATATAAAATTTTTTTAGTGCGATATCCTATAATCGCACCTGCTCCTAAGTTTGAACTATAATTAGTCTTATAAGACCGTTTCGCCCAAGATCCGTCAGCTACTACCGTTATTAATGGATAACCATTCTTATCAACTTCCCCATTCTCTTTTGCTAACGTAGCTTTCTCTTGTCCAGCTTCTATCATCGAACTCCAAGCAGCTTTATGGTAATAGTCCCCCAGATCATTTTGAATATTACGATACATCCGTTCAAGTATAGGAGGTAACTCCGACAACTGACTTGACCCAATTCCAATCGAAATAGCTCCTTTAACTGCTAAGGCATTAATTCGAAGTGTTTTGCTTTGAGGGTTTTCACTATTAATGCTAAACGTTTCTTCGCAGATGTTGCAATGCAACAAAAATTTTGAAAGTAGGCCTTTTTTGAACTCTTTAACTATTTTGACGTTGTCACCACTGCAGTGAAATAATCCATGATGTGGTAAGTTTAACACCTGCTGAATTAGGTACTGGGTATCCACAATTCTCAGACCTTCCAAACAAATTTTATTTCTTTTTGTTCTAAAATAAAAAAATTACATAAATATTTTTACAAAATATAAATAATAACTTGATTAACTTTTTTTCATTTCGGCTTTGTAGGTATTTATCACCCATTGAAATATACGGATTTAGTAATATACATATGATTACTTTTTATTTTTAAGTTCTTCCTCAACGACACTATCCCTATCTAAATAGCTTCGCTTTTGCTGACGGTTGTCCTCCTGACGACTTGAAGATGGCGTAGCCAAAATATCTACAGGAAAATTGGTGGCAGAAGTGGTACTGCTACGAATTCTAAAAATATTGTTATTTAAAATTGTTATCTAAAACTATTATAGTCTATCAAAAAAGCTAAGTGGTCTCTATATTAACACAGTTATTTTCTTAAATGAGTAAAATCAAACAGTAGATTCTCACACACTTTTATTAAAAAATTAAAATTAAAAAGTCTGCATTACAATTGTTTCGAAGTACAACTTCTTCTTCGAATGTGACTTATTTACATTTCGGTGCCTAATATACAGTGTGTCTACTTAAGTTAGAATCATATGGAAAAAAAATTATTGATTTTAGGAAAAATAGTTATTATTCATAAAAAGTTCTGCATTATCTAAAACCTTGAATACAGTCATCAAATATCAAATTGTTTCAGTGGTATACGAGGTTTGTCAAAAAATATGAATTTTGCTCAAGAGTAAAGTACGTTTGTTTCTGACAAAATCGAAAATTTTCATTGTATATATACTAAGTAAACTAATATAAGTGGGATAAGAGCTATATTAACGTACGTATGCGAAATTTGCACAACAAGTGCGTAGCATGAGTTGGGCAATCGCAGAAGTACCTTAATAAACCGTTATCACACGTATACTCTACAAATTTTTATCTATGCCTCTAAATGTAAAAATAAACGCTCATTATAATTTTTGTCTAAGACTTTAGGGTTATTGTTTTCCACCACTACCTACATGTCGATTGGCGACACATCGAAATGTTGGGTAGCGGTTCTAACAATTGAATAAAAACGTTTTTTTTCTCTTAGCAACGATAATATTGTCATAAACAATGAGTCAAAAATAATTCATTTTTAACGTATTTTTGCATTTTCTAGTAATAAAATGAGTGATTCGGAAAGTTTGTCATCTGATATTGAAGAACAAGCTTAAATAGTTATTTATACAACAAGTGCAAAAAGTAAAATTGTCCGAGGCCGTCAGGCCGAGTTTGACTAGCAAAAGAAGTTTCGAATTTCTTTAAAACACTAAGCTGCTCTCCGCTCTTAAAAATATAAAATAGATACACAAATAGTGTCTAAAGTTGTGCATAAATTTCACGTACTTCTTACATATTATACATAGAATGCAGAGCATAGAATGCTTTTCATTATTAGACTATATTATAACATAAAACATTTTTGTAAAATTTTGCTTTACTTACTCTGATGTATTGACTACCGGAAGATTACTTTCCACCTCAGAATAATTTTCCATTCTTTTTTTCAAGAACCTAATATATAGAACAAAAAATAAATCAATATTATTTAATTTTAAATATAAATTGGTATTACCTTAATCGAGCCAGTCGCTTATTTTTCCGTTTGTATGTTGGTTTTATTTTTCCCATCTTTCACAAAAATACACTTAAAAAACTTAAAAAAAACTAACTCTATACTCCTAAATATGTAATTTAATCTAACTACAGCTATTCACTAAATTAAAATAAAAAATATTGTAAACACCCTCTAATAAATCCAACTACGTTATAATAATATCTCACAATGCACCAAGAACAACTAAATGCGGTTCTGGTTTCCTTAATTCAGGTAACTCTGACTCACTTAAGACCTCTGAACGTCGGCAGCCGTGGTAGGGAAATAATATATGGGATGGAGTACACGATTTCGAGTTCGAACGTTAAAATTTTGTAGGTACGCTCTTAAGTTGAATATTATCAATTCTTAGTAATAAACGAAATACAACTACTAAACCAATAATATAAACTATAAACTAAAATAATACTAACTTTATTACTACTTCAAAAATTAATAACCTAATATTAAATTTACCGAAAAGAAACAAAAATGCCATATGTAGTTGAACTATAATAAGAAAATTACAAGACTACGAAATAAATATCTATTTTCAAATAACATTTAACGGATAACGAATTCGTAAAAATCTATCATCCGCTATCGTTGAATTACCATAATACACAGGGTGAATAATATATCGTAGCAGGTCCATTACATTAATATAGAAACTGATTGTGTCTATTACGATAAGATAAAACTGCTGTTGATGTTTATTTTGAGACTATTAAAGAATTATAGACGTTTCCATTGTATAACTAGGAAATATTTACAACAAATCTCTTACATATTTGTTGCAGATCATGTTTTCGACTGCAACACTTACAGTTCTTGTACGCAGTGCGTGTCTTCTTCTTTTCCTTGTGACTGGTGTATAGACGGTCATAGATGTACACATGACACTGCCGAAAATTGTAGGAACGACATTCTAGTGACTGGCGTTAGCGTAAGTATTCTTTTTTATTGGTATATTAGGTATTCCAAATAAAATAGTTGCCTGGTGTTTTTTATTACACACCTTTTACTTCTTGTACTCTAATTGAAAAAATGTTTTCCCGTAAAACGAGTATAATGTTGATGAATCGTGGGTAGTTGAGAAAAATACAGACAGACTTTTGATAGTTTATGTATCTCAGCAAGATACAGAGTAAACACAATTGCCGCTTTAGGCCAGTCGTTAAACAAAATCAATTTAAATTGATTACAAAAGCTTTCAAACTTTATTGGAATATTTCCTAAATTGAAATAATAATAAATTTAATTTTGCAACTTTTTTTGAGGTGCGAAGCATATTAATAATTGCACAAATTTGATAGTAAGAGAAATATTTCCAAGGTTTAACAAAAAACTCGATCTTGTCCCATCGAAGCTAAGTTAGATCAGGACGGCGTAGATAAACCAAATATTTTTATGTCTGAACATTGTGGTCTGAACATTACATTATATATGTTAAATACTTTTCTTGGCGTATCATGCAATCTGAATTTAAAAAATGTTTTTTAACGTAACTTTGAGCTACATACCTAATGCAAATATTGTCATAAATAGTTCACATTTACAAAATGTTAAAGATAATAACATTCGTATAATTTTAACAAATAATTTTCAAAGTTAAACTGATAAAAAATCATTGTATGTTTGTTATATAGTTGTTATCCCTATTGCTCACGAACTGTATTGCTATTTTTTAACCGGTATCGGATAGATAGTTGGTTAAATTAGACAAAGGTTGCCAAGTTTAGTGCTTGTTAAAATGGTGCCAAGAAACCCTTGATATTTACAGGGACACCTTGCATATTCTACTATTTTATACTAATCATTCCAATTTCCTTTACAGAAGACAATACCAAGTTATAGATCAGGTCCAGGCTTTTGCCCCAGAATAAACGCAACAGTCGGAATTTCGCCAGAAATATTGGTAGCTTCTGGAACAAAGAAAGCTATTAAAGTCAAGGTCCATATCATCGGACAGTTCATCGTTCAAACTAGATTCGTATGTCAATTCAATATAGAAGGAAGAATTACTAGCGTAAATGCTCAACTACTAGGTGATACTATTTATTGTGATGTCATAGAATTTTCTTACACATCTAACACACCAAATATTACTGTTCCTTTTGCTGTTATTTGGGGAGGTTCAAAACCTCTGGACAATCCAGACAATATTCATAGTAAGTGAAATTATGTTCTAAATATTAGCAAGTTTATTAAAGAAAAACAATCTCACAGCCATGTCTCGCAAATAATACGAGCAACCATTTCTGTCCGTGAAACAATTACTCCTTTTGCTAATTCCACAACAGGCATTTAATTAAAATCAAAGAGAAAAAGCAGATGTAGACAATTATTTTCAATACTTTATTTTATTTTGCTAAGGAAGAAGAAAATCAATATTGCACCTATTTCGTCCTTATTAGGATTTCAAGAAATAGGACATGTTGGATTCTTATCTCTAATGGAACTTGTAGATGTAAAAACTACTTTCTATACCTGCATGACTGTTGAGTGAAATTAAAAAGTCAACATATAGTGCCATCTAGTTACACTTAGTAACCAAAATCAAAACACGCTTATAGTATTCAGTTCAAATATTAAGTAGAATGAAAGTCAGGCGGATAATTTTTAAGAAAAGAAAAATAAATTAATTCTAAACTCAGATGTAAACAAGATGTTTGAATTCATTTTCGTTTTTATTAATGAGTTTTTCTCAGAAAAACTATTGCGAATCATTTTTATTAGCAAGTGTGTCATTTTAGCAGCTATGTCATTTTAGGACACTTTCCCCTATCTGATTTAAAATCGCCTTATGCATCTTACAAAGAATATTTAATGACGTTTGCATGTGCTAAAGAGCAAATGATGTCGTATTGACATTGCCAGTTACCAGTTGGTAGACTTAACCTGTGGTTGGCAACATTAATACTTTGTTGTGTCTTTTCTTGCATCTGTAAACGTCAGTTACTATTCATTATAACACAAACAAAATAGGACTAAAAGTTTGATCTTGCCAGAGGAATTCTCAAATCCCTCACAATATTTTATACACGTCTTGAAGGGGTCGAAAAAAAACAAAATCCTAAATACCATTTTTCTCATTAGTCTATAAAAACAAAAAATATTTTTCATCGAAGCTATTTCACTGTTTAAAAATAAATTTCACAACACATAAATGAATAATGCAGTTTATGAAAATACAGTAATAGTTTTAAGGTGAAGGGGGAGAAAAATTCCTTTATATCTCACAAGGAAAGTCAATGTTTAATTATTTAACAACTTTGAATGAAAAATTAACCAAACTAAAAATTAAAAATAACAATGTTAATAACAATCAAAGTTCACATAAATTTCATACTCCTCTTCTAAATTTTTCTGATACAACTTTTACAGAAACTGAAATTGACCTCCTTAACAAGGGTATAAAATTTAATCCAACTAGATCAAATGCCATTTCACTTAATAAAAACTTAGAAATACTAGCAGTAGAAGCAGAGTCCATCTTACAAAACTTTGAAATTGACAATAAAGAAGATCTTAGATGTGGATTAGTTAACATATTCAAAAAAGAAAAAGAAACGTTATTAAATAATCTCTCTTCAAGAGGCACTTTTAATGATAATTTAATTAAAAACATTAATAAAAAGATTAAAAATAATGATCTAATATTGACAAAAAGGCAATTGTCTATTAATTCTGAACAAATTTGATTACTTGTCTAAAGTTTACAACTTTTTGAACACTAACAGTTTCGTTATAATCACTAACCCCTTAAATAAGTATAATACCAAATTTAAAACTACCCTTAAAAATTGTACACATTTGATCAATGATTCCTTGTTTAATAAATTCAAACCAGATCACAAATTAATACCTAGGCTATATGGCCTTCTCAAAATCCACAAATCTGACAATTTTGATGACATACCAATCCGTCCTGTCGTGTCATATATAAATTCACCAACATATTATACATCAAAGTGGTTGAATGACATACTCAAAATCCATTATAAAGATCACTTTACACATACAGTCAAAAATAGTGTACAACTTGTAAACAACATCAAAAATGTTCACATTAATGATACAGATTCTTTGATCTCTTTAGATGTATCAAACTTATTCACAAATATTCCTATACCAGAGGTTCTAGGTTTTGTTGAATCACATTTGTCAAGTTCGAATATGTCTGATATTGAACTAGTACAATTTTTGAACCTTCTTAAGGTTTGTTTAGAACAAAACTTTTTTTCATTCAACAATGAAATTTTTTCACAAACAAATGGACTTTCTATGGGATCTCCACTTAGCCCAATATTAGCAGACATATTTATGCACAATTTTGAAAAAGAAAAAATCCTTAAAAACAACCTTTTCCACTCAAATGTGAAATTCTATTATAGATATGTTGATGATATTTTGATTTTGTGGTCAGGTAACTTAGACTCATTAAATGACTTCTTGACTTATATTAATGACTTACATTCTAATATTAAATTCACATTAGAAATTGAAATAAACAAATCTATTAACTTCTTAGATCTTAAAATCTCACACAATAATAAGTTCAACTTTGACATCTATAGAAAGCCAACACATACAGGCACAGTTATAGACAATACCTCTAACCATCCAGCAACACATAAATTGGCTGTCTTTAATTGCTACTTAGAGAGGCTATTAAACGTTCCTCTGTCTACGAAAAACTTTAATAAGGAACTAAATATAATTAAAACTATTGCTATAGATCACACCTTTGAACTAGATATTATTGATAAAATGCTAACACATAAACAAAATAAAATTCAACAAAACTTAGTTTATATTAACAATCCTAATATGGTACATGAACTAACCACCAGTAAGAAATATATTTCTCTTACCTTTATTGGAAAAGCATACTATAAAGTGGCAAGCTTACTTAAAGACCACTTTAAAGTATCTTTCAAAACCCCCTCCTCATTACATAAGTTATTTGTTCATAATAAAGATAAATTAGATCCCTTTGACTTATCTGGAATTTATAAATTAACTTGTAAATCTTGCCATTCTTTCTATGTGGGACGCATATTTCGAAATTTCAAGATCCGTTTAAAAGAACGTTTGCGTTGTCTTAACCAAAATACAACAGGTTTTTCACATTTTGCCAACCACCTACTGGACTCAAATCACGACTTCGATTCAACTGAAGGTTTCGAAATCCTACATAGTTCTTACCATAGATTTACTCTTAATAGCTTCGAAAGCCTCGAGATATTGAGAAATTTAAAATTAAATCCTGTTGGTTGCTTAAATGCCCAGATAATGTCAGAAACTCCTCCTGTTTTCTCAACACTAATCTAAATTTATCGTTCTAACTTCCTTTTTAACCTCCCCCTTTATTTCTATTCACATATTTTCTTGCAAGGGGTACATTTCAGTAAGTAATTTTTTTCCCACAAGAAACCAACGAGCATGTTTAAAGATTAGGTTAGATTGTGTGATATTCACATCCGTCATTTTCTTCTTTTATTCTTTTATTCTTCAGTTGCTTCACAACAGTTAACCCAGTCATTTCTTCTTCTTTCTTCTTCCTACAACATCACATACACTTGGTGATTGGTTCATGGCCCAAATCTTATATAATAAATAATAAATATTTCTTCACTCATGGTTTACATCTTATTACCTATACCCTGTCATGGGTTTACCCAAGAATTGTTTTGTTAATACTTGCCACCACCTGTAGAGGCCTTAACTTGACAGGTCTCCTTTCAAAAATGTTAGTTTTTTGAAAAAACAACAAGGTTGTTTAAAATAAGCCTTATCTTTTAATCTGTTTAATGTATGTGATTTGTTTTGTATGGTCTTGAATATTTTAAATTTTTACTATTTCAATTGACTAATATTTGTTTTTTCAAATATTTTTAACTTTTTATTACTTGTAAACTTTGTTCATTTTACAATTTATTTCACCCCACATTTGATGAAACTTGTTTTGTAGTATTCCCTAGTGGATGGAGAGTATGGTGTGAGTTTTCTCTTTTTTACTATTTTATATATCGTTTGCTCCAAGTTAACACACCTTACACCACATATTCTCCTTTCCACTAGGCGAGCCTGAAGATGAAGTGATGACACTTCGAAACCGGTCGCACTCAATGTTTTGTTAAATAATTAAACATTGACTTTCCTTGTGAGATATAAAGGACTTTTTCTCCCCCTTCACCTTAAAATTACCTCAACTCACACATGGCTACCCCCCCTTGTCAACAGTAATAGTATCTGAGTTTGTAAGGTCTTCTAGTCTTTACCAGGTCCTTTATCTATCTTATAGAATCTGCCTTTCAACTTGCCAAAATCCTGTTTTATGTCTCCAAGATGAACTATTTTCCCAGCTCATCAAAAGACCCCGCACACTGCTTATGGAAAAGTGGAGACCTGTTAAATGTCATAAATTTTTGATATGTTGCAGTTCTCGACCTCTTAAGCAATAATGTCCGTGGGACCATTCAAATCCTATGACTGGTTTTTAAGATGCAGGGTGTTAAATTTAAGAAATACTTCTTAAAAGCTGTATTGATCACTTTTTTCTAAAGAATAACAACAAAAGCATAATGGCAAAATCTTATGTTATAAAGAGTGGGTTAACTGATCATTTCCCAATAGTGTTTACAATTTGAAAACACATGCATACAACTATCAAATCAGCCATTAAAAAAGAAGTCAATTGATCAAACTAAAGTCTCAAACTCCCTAGAAAACTATAACTGGGATGACATTTTAAAATGTAATGATGTAGAGTTGTGCAGTAATAACTTTATTCAAATACTAATATCAATTATTGAAAATGCTACTAGTTATAAATCTATTCCCCTAATAAAGAAGAAAAAGCCCTGGATCACTCAAGGTATTATTAACTCTATAAAAAGACGTGATAAACTAAAGAAGGATACCCTTCAAGATCCCCTAAATGAACTTGCTTTAAATAGATTCAGAACTTATAGAAACCATTTAACAAAATTAATAAACATTTCAAAATATTCCTATTATAAAAATAAACTTAACAAAAACATAAATAACTTAAAAAAGGTATGGGACGTAGTACGGGAGGCCACAAACGATATAACACAAAAAAACGATATTAACTCTTTAATAGAAAATAAACAAAAAATAACCGATAACAGAGAAATTTCAA